CAAAAGTTGTTTTGCCTATAGTATCTCTTTAATTTGTGGGTATTAGCTAAAAAAAAAAACTTACAAAAAACTTTCCATCTAAAGTCAATGAAAAGTCAATGGCAATTACACAATATTGTATTCACCCAACTACCAAACAATAAAAAATTAATAAATACTAGCCACTTGTGGAATGACAATTTAGATACAGTTGCAAGAAAAAGTATGTGAACCCTTTGGAATGATATGGATTTCTGCACAAATTGGTCATAAAATGTGATCTGATCATCATCTAAGTCACAACAATAGACAATCACAGTCTGCTTAAACTAATAACACACAAAGAATGAAATGTTGCCATGTTTTTATTGAACACACCATGTAAACATTCACAGTGCAGGTGGAAAAAGTATGTGAACCCTTGGATTTAATAACTGGTTGAACCTCCTTTGGCAGCAATAACTTCAACCAAACGTTTCCTGTAGTTGCAGATCAGACGTGCACAACGGTCAGGAGTAATTCTTGACCATTCCTCTTTACAGAACTGTTTCAGTTCAGCAATATTCTTGGGATGTCTGGTGTGAATCGCTTTCTTGAGGTCATGCCACAGCATCTCAATCGGGTTGAGGTCAGGACTCTGACTGGGCCACTTCAGAAGGCGTATTTTCTTCTGTTTAAGCCATTCTGTTGTTGATTTACTTCTATGCTTTGGGTCATTGTCCTGTTGCAACATCCATCTTCTGTTGAGCTTCAGCTGGTAGACAGATGGCCTTAAGTTCTCCTGCAAAATGTCTTGATAAACTTGGGAATTCATTTTTCCTTTGATGATAGCAATCCGTCCAGACCATGACGCAGCAAAGCAGCCACAAACCATTTGGGATGAGGTTTTGATGTTGGTGTGCTGTGCCTTTTTTTCGCCACACATGGTGTTGTGTGTTTCTTCCAAACAACTCAACTTTGGTTTCATCTGTCCACAGAATATTTTTCAGTACTGCTGTGGAACATCCAGGTGCTCTTGTGCAAACTGTAAACGTGCAGCAATGTTTTGTTTGGACAGCAGTGGCTTCCTCTGTGGTATCCTCCCATGAAATCCATTCTTGTTTAGTGTTTTACGTATTGTAGATTCGCTAACAGGGATGTTAGCATTTGCCAGTGACTTTTGTAAGTCTTTAGCTGACACTCTAGGATTCTTCTTCACCTCATTGAGCAGTCTGCGCTGTGCTCTTGCAGTCATCTTTACAGGATGGCCACTCCTAGGGAGAGTAGCAGCAGTGCTGAACTTTCTCCATTTATAGACAATTTGTCTTACTGTGGACTGATGAACAGCAAGGCTTTTGGAGATACTTTTATAACCCTTTCCAGCTTTATGCAAGTCAACAATTCTTAATCGTAGGTCTTCTGAGAGCTCTTTTGTGCGAGGCATCATTCACATCAGGCAATGCTTCTTGTGAAAAGCAAACCCAGAACTGGTGTGTGTTTTTTATAGGGCAGGGCAGCTGTAACCAACACCTCCAATCTCATCTCATTGATTGGACTCCAGTTGGCTGACATCTCACTCCAATTAGCTCTTGGAGATGTCATTAGTCTAGGGGTTCACATACTTTTTCCACCTGCACTGTGAATGTTTACATGGTGTGTTCAATAAAAACATGGCAACATTTCATTCTTTGTGTGTTATTAGTTTAAGCAGACTGTGATTGTATATTGTTGTGACTTAGATGATGATCAGATCACATTTTATGACCAATTTGTGCAGAAATCCATATCATTCCAAAGGGTTCACATACTTTTTCTTGCAACTGTATGTTTTTAAACCTATATGTTGTTTACTGAGTTTGCTGAGGTTTGGGAATTATTTTAAATTTGTTCTACTTCAGTATTTTGTGTATACCTTTAGTATTATCATTTTTAAAATTTCTTTGTACAGTGACAGATTGTGCCATAATACATTAACAGTTTGATTAGTGACTTGTGCAAAAGCCTGGTATCTAAGTGGAAATGTTCGCTGTCTGTCAGAGGTGTTTTTTTTAAATGTTTTTTTTTTGAAGTGTAACAGAAACAAGTAAATGTACATAGATAACAAGAATATGTACAAGTGAGGTATTTTGTGAGAAGTAGCTCTGTTGTCTGCAGGTACTGCGAGCTGGTTGTTTTAATAGTACTCTGTGTTTACATTCCACATTATATGTGTGTGCTGTCTACTCCACGATTGGTGGGGAAGCCTGTTAGTTGCTCGGTACCAGAGGTGTGGGTTTCCTCCCTCAATTTCCCTCCCGTCTTCCCCCCATTCCTGGTTATGGCTTATTCTTCAAATTGTTCCCATAGTGCCCATACCCTTTGGAAGGTAGCCATAGGGTTGTATATACCTTTAAAATGATTTCAACTCATCTGCTGATACATTTACTCATAGGGCGAATTTTTAGGAATTTTAAGTGAATTTAAAATTTCAGGCCGAAATAAACAAACGGAAATTCCCAATAAAACGCACATTAACGAATAAATTGCTCAATGATGCTAACTGTATTAATTGTCACACACAAAGAGTTATGTTTTAGACATTACCAATGTGTGTCAGTTTAACCCTTACTATAGGAGCCTGAATTGCACAATATACTTTGTATCTTGCTATTAGGTAGGTGGGCCGTTATATAATCAATGCAAGACATTATAAGTCCAAACTCCTTTTAAGGTTTGAAAGACTTTGACGCCTACAGAGACTGGCTACAGTAACGGAAGGATTAGCACCTCACTAGTGAATGATCAAAGGGGTAGTCTGTCATGTTGTCTTGATATTATCTTCTGTTCATTCCAGCAGTGTATTGCGTAACTTTATTTAAAGGAGTAATGTCACTTCTGAGGTTTTTTTTTTTTACGGACATAAGCTTTATTTTGATATTGCGGAGAGCAATGGTAAAAGATATGAGCACTATGGCAAATAACCAAGTTTTCCTCTTTTAAGATGTAGGATTTTGCATTGGGCCTTACTCAACTTTTGAGTGATTTTTGCTTTGGAAAAGTTGTTGGAGCGAAAATATAAATTTTTGCTCGTTGGATGTGCAGTACGTAAATATTGCAGCTAACTGGAGTGACGTGATTGCTTAGTGTTAAAACACAAGGGTATTACGATTGCTCCCCCATTCACCCCAAATATTCTTTCCTTCTAAAAAAACTGAAAACTTTATTAATGCAATATATAAAATATAAAAAAAATATTTTTAGAAAAGGCTATAAATAAAAAACAAACGCCCCTCATTTACTGCATAGCCAAAATGTATCAATGACTGAGCGTTTTATTTTGTGGACAGGTGTCTGATCACGCAGGAATGTGAATTTTGCTGACAAACAAGGCCATGTAAGGGTTAGTTTGCATGATTACTTTCCATAAATAAAAATGTTCCATTTGTGTTTCTGGAAAACGCAATACAGTAATTTCAAAATTCATCCTAAATCCAAAAACCACTACAAATCAGATGACTGTTTTGTGTCTCTGTGAGATAGGTCAGCCAAAGGTTTTTTCTTTCCATGCAATGTGACTTAGCAGGACGGAACATTTGTAAATGTACAGATTAACAGCACGTTTTGAAAAGAACACATGGCGCGTAATAGACTTGTATACACTAAAAAGGGTTAATTTATTTCGAGATCATTATAAAAAACTATATGCTGTAATTTAAAAAAATAAAATAAAAAACCCATTAAAAACACAAAGATTAAAATTATTTTTTTTAAAAAGCCCAAAAAAGCTGAAGATTTTTCTCTGTTGCACAAATTTAACGTGCTGGAGAGTTATCGGACTGTAAACTGAATTGCTATTCTTTCCTATGAATTAATTAACAGCTAATATGTCTTGAGAGTTCGTAGAAAATATATGCTATATTTACTATAAAATGCTGATTTTTTTTTTTGTTGCAGATTCTGCAGTGGAAAAATAATTTTTATTTAAAGACTATTATAGCTTCAAAATTATGGCTCAGAAATAAAATCACTAAGTTGCGTGAGTTTCCCACTGTAAAATATAACGACACAAACATCTAAAATGGAAAAATAAACTAAATGTTGCTTGTCACTACAACAGAACACTTTGCTGCCGGGTGTCCAGTCATAAAGCGGGAAGAAATAGCATTTGTCCTATTCTCAAAAGGGTTAAATGCACCTAAGGCTAAAATGACAAATACGAAATGGTGATGTGTTTACCCTGTTACCAGGGAAACGAAACCTATACATATATAAACAATAATGAGCTGACAGCCTACCATGTAAATGTATTCACGCACATTGCAGAATGAGAAAAACGATGGAAAATTGCCCAAGGAAAAATGATTGTGTTAATAAATACAGTATGTATAGACTGGAGGGTTTTGGCTATATATAGGTGTTTTTTCCCCCCACAAATGATGTTTTTAATTGATTTATAATGAAGTTTGAATGATATGGGGTCTATTCACTAAACAGCATGTTTAGAAATTTCTCGCTAACCAGTTCTACAACTTGCTGTTTAGCAGATAAGCCCTTTTAAGATAGATAAGAAGGTTTAAGTATTACTTTTTCTAGGCTAAAACATCCTGGTTAGGGAAAATCTATGGAAATATTATTTGCAACTCGGCTACCCTGACCTACATCTCAGCTTGTCAACTCACTGATCAATGAAACGATATATAGGAACAGTTAATGGAGTACTTGCCATTTAAACAGTGAATGTTTCTGGTTTTAGAAATAGATTCAGTATTGTCACCTTGTATAGAAAAGCCCATATAGAAATCAGAAAACCAATACAGGCAAACATGAACAAGGCACTCAGTTATGTCTGACTTAAAGGGATACTATAGTCACCAAAACAACTTTAATGAAGCAGGTTCGGTGTGTAGATCATGCCTCTGCAGTCTCATTGCTCAATTCTCTGTCATTTAGGAGTAGTGATGTCGCGAACCGTTCGCGAACTTCCCGCGAATGGCTCGCAACGGTTCGCCACGAACCGTTTGCGGCGAGCTCCGGTCAGCTGACACATCCCGGCCAATCTCCAGCAGAGCCTCCCTCCCAGACCCTCCCACCTCCTGGACAGCGTCCATGTTGAAGGCAGCTTCAACATGGATGCTGTCCAGGAGGTGGGAGGGTCTGGGAGGGAGGGTCTGCTGGAGATTGGCCGGGATGCTGTCCAGGAGGTGGGAGGGTCTGGGAGGGAGGGTCTGCTGGAGATTGGCCGGGATGTGTCAGCTAACCGGAGCTCGCCGCGAACGGTTCGTGGCGAACCGTGGCGAGCCGTTCGCGGGAAGTTCGCGAACGGTTCGCGACATCACTATTTAGGAGTTAAATCACTTTTGTTTCTGCTAATTCTGCACACATTCATTGGCTGTATAAAAAAGGTTTAATTTTTAAACAAATGTTGACTTATTTTAGAAGTTTTAATGTCCTGCTCTGCTAATTGAACTTTAATCACACACAGGAGGCTCCTGCAGGCCCTAGCAAGCTATTAACAGTGCAGGAGCTAAGACATTCTAAATTAAACAAACTTTGGAACAAGGGAAGTGTAAACATTAGATCTCTCTTTACAGGAAGTGTTTAGGAAGACTGTGTAAGTCACATGCAGGGAGGTGTAACTAGGGCTGCATAAACAAAGTGATTTAACTCCTAAATAGCAGAGCATTGAGCGGTGAGACTGCACGGGCTGGATCTATACACCAAATACACCTTCATTAAACTAAAGTTGTTTTGGTGCCTATCGTGTTCCTTTTAGGAATTTTGCAAATAATCTAGACACCATCTATAGTAACACCATACCTAGAATACAACTATAGTACCAGTTCAGTTTGTTTTCTAGAACAATGTTAGTGAAAGAAAGCTTGACTTGTTATTTGTACGCTGTGTGCTCATGAGCATATCCTAAAGACATGCTTGGGCTTGTACCTTTACAGAATCTGGTGTCCTCAGGAGGTCGAATCTGTAATTGTACACAGAATGCAAATTTTTAGCAGATACATATTTGCTCATTTTATTGATGTAAGCATTGTAAGTTATTTCCACTGATACGGCTGGTATATATTAGAGTTACTTATTGACTAGATTGCTTGTACCTGTATTTTATTTGTACCATCCATCCATTCATCCATTCATAAACAAGGCAACCCTACTTCTAGTAAGGGTATCTACTTGTAAGGAGGAGGTTGCTATAACTTACATGTTATTATCCTGACTACCTTGTATGCAAGGCTTAAAGATGGTAATATTCACCTACGTACTGTCCACATGTTAATTGGAAAGATGCTAAAACATTGTTGGAATTAATACGACTATATCAAGCCACTCACGACCCGACAGACTGTTGGCAAAAGCACCCACACTGATGGGGAGGAAAACCAAGGAGGCGCGACTGGACCGGATGCGGTTCACAGCAGACATAGGAGAATTACTGTGGAGACCGCATGGCGCAGCCGGACCCAACATGGCGGCTGACTTTGATGACTTCACGGACAGCTCGGAAGACATCCCCCTACACAGTCCTACCCCCCAGGCAAGCCAAGGGAATACAACTTGACGGAATTTTCCGCCTGCCCAAGCCATCAATACCCTCAAGTAAACGTTAAATGCTTCATGTATAACAACAACCCGTCTTAGATGCCCCTCATACTAACACAATGATCACTAAACCTAAGGCCAAACGAGGCCGAGACCGGGAGGATCCCGGGTATGCTGCCTCCATTTTTAACAACCACCCACCCAGCTCCCATCATGTACACTCATACTATGCATATTATCTTGAATCGGTTCATTTTTCGCATTAGGTTGCGCATCAGATTGCTCTGCTCACTGGTAACACTCACTGTAGAAGTCAGTTATTTAGTGTTCACCCCAGCCTAAAAGCTAACCACAGTAACTTCCAACATGATTTAACTTAATGATGTTACCATAATAGTGATCTGGGCTCCGCTTCATCACAACAGGGTCTACCGGCCAACTAGTTCTTGCGCCTCTGTTAGGCATATGCTGCAGTACACAAGATTGAGCCTAAGAGCCATCTTTATACTAACCTGTTTTTGCATTTATTTACGTTTTCTCTCATTTATAAAAAGTGCAGTTAAGTCAAATGATATGAGAAGGTCTGACAATATAATGCTTTTTACCGCTATTGTGGCCATACAGGGTTGATTGTAATTTTATGCACAACAAAAATAAAAATAAAAACAAATTGGTGGAATTAGGCTACTCTAAAGCTGGGTTATAAAACCCTACTCTAGTCTCAGTGGCAAATTTAGCTCCATGGATTATAGACATGAAATAGAAAATATAAAATTCTGATTGTACCCATTGTACAGCGCTACGGAATCTGATGGCACTATATTAATAATAAAATAATAATAATTGTAGAAACACATTGATCAAGTTATGGGTTTTACACCCCATCTCCTATAGAATGTAAGCTCGTTTGAGCAGGGTCATCTCCAACCTATCGTTCCTGTAAGTTTTTTGTAATGGTCCTATTTATAGCTAAATACCCCTCTCATAATATTGTAAAGTGCTACGGAATCTGTTGGTGCTATATAAATGGTAATAATAATAATAATAATAATAATAATAGTATGGGCTTCATTTTTCCTAGTATACAACTTTAGCTTTATTTGTATCAAGATCTCTGTCATGAATTGGGCCACATTTTATAGCCATTATAAAGTCTTTTTTTATTTTTTTATTATTAGCAATCTCTTGCATGCTGAGCTACAGAATAGGCAGAATGAAAATGAATATTTTCTTTCTATTGTTGCATGGCTAAGATCCAAATCAGTTCTTATTTGTGATTCAGAAAAACATGGCACTTATCGCTTATACTTGTCTTCCAATTTCTTGTATCCATTGCGATCCTATTAAATCTGTATATTTCATCAGTACATAAACACAAAGAAGACTTTCTTTACTGGGCTCTAATTAGGTTCAAGCGCATTGAATTGTTCTGTGTATTATCCACCTGTCTCCTGGTTTAATGACATGCTGAATCTCTCTTGCAAATGACTATACATTCTTTTGTCGTTTAGAGAAATCTAGATAAACACATTTTAGCATTTTCTCTTTCTGAATAATATTTCCTGTGGCACAATACCCTTATTGATTCTCTCTACTGTGTTTTATAACCTTAAACCGAATATTATTCCAAATCTATGGTTACTCTTGATTGTTAGATAATAGTGTAAGAGATGAATAGCAGCTATAAAGCACCTGGCTTTTATAAAGAAAAATAAATGCTGTAAACCACTTAATTTTCTTCAATAAGAAATGCCTGTAACTGAAACAAATGTTCATCGTCAATATTCCCTCTCTGCTACTTAAAGGAACACTTTAGGGTTAGGAATACAGGCAGTATGAAGGGTTAAATATCCCTTTAGTCACTTACTGAATTTCAGCACCAAAGCCTCCTGGAGGCTATGAATGGTGGA